GTCTCCTTTTCAACTAAAGATGAGTAGATACGCTAGTGAAAAAAAAGGAAAGAAGTGAGAAAGAGATATGCAACAATATACACAATAAATTAAAAGTAAAAACTAATTATTCCTATCAATTTTCTTGGAAGGTGAGAAAACTCATTGTATTATTATTAACCCTTTTTCTTTTGGAGTGATTAGCATCTCAAATCAATTTTTAATAGCCAATCTGGTACGAACCAACAATAATTACAATTCGAATGCGAATAAGATATTGTTTTAGTACGTAGTCTGAGTTGGAAATTTAATAAATTTGTGGATTGATAAAAGTTATTCCCTATATATATAGAGAGATAGATTATGGTTTCTATATTGGTACTAAATACATGGTAGAGATTAGAGAGATCCATACGCGCACACACGAAAATGAAAATTTTAAATTAAATTTGTATTTTCCGAGCTTTGTAGTGTGAACTTGAAATTAAGTAGAAGATTAAAATAATTAGTTGTATGAAAAATCAAGTGAAAAACATGATAAATTCATTGTCACTTTAAGCACGCCCTGAGTCTTAAGGTTAGTAGCAAACCACATTGTTATCTCAAATTAAAAAAAATAAACTTGTATTTAAAAAAAATTAAAAATAAGTAAGTAAACAAAAAAAGTCGCGTTTAGCTAATAAAGAAAGATTAAAGTTAAAGATTTTTTTTTTTTGAACAATTTTCATGGTGATTAAGAAGGTTAAAATTAAAATCTCATTATTCCATTTATTTATTAACTAGCCTCTCCTCACACGCTCACGCGCATGTAAGAGGCATTTTTTCATCACAGGCGCTACGCGCCCCTTAAGGATGGGGTCTAGTTTAGTTATGTTTCTTGATGTTTAACATTGTTGTTTCATAAGAAATTGTTTAATGAATTGTGCATGAGAGAGAGGCTTTTACCTATTATTGATAAGTGCCCCCTAAGATATGTACTCTCTCACACACAGCCAGTGCCTTTACCTATCTTCTCTAACATTACCTTCGCAAACATGTTATATTAACTTCTTTTCTTTAATATTACCTTCGCAATCATGTTCCTAACCCTTCGAGACTATAGATCTTGAAATGCATCTAAGTTTCAAATAATGAGAAGATATGTGACATTTACTGACATTTAACAAACAATACTGTATATATTTACCATGAACGTAGTACAATATAAGCTTACACCTTAATCCACATGATAAGGAGTAGTATTTTACAATATAAAGCTATCAATCTCATTGTTTATTTGAACCATCTCTCCATAATTGTTTCCTGTACAAATTTATGGATGATTCTACAATTGAAAACCCAAATGTGCAGTAAAAACAGCCAAGAGAAAACAGAAGCTAAAGATATCACACTAAAAAAAAATCAATTGAAATTAAGCAATCACTGTGCACTTGATTGACCCTAAAGTGACGTACAACTGCCAATTGCCAAAAATTTTAAGAAACCATTTTGAAATGAAGCAGACATTGTTATAATAAGAAAAAACCTCAAATGTGCAGTATAATCGAAATTAACTCCATTTGGAGGGAATTAAAGAAAACCAAAACGACAATAACTTCGTATTACATTAAACATTTTGACTAATATGTTATAAGCACAACCAACTCATCCATGTTAAGAACCCAACAGAAACAGAAACCAAATGATGCAATCTGCCAATTAATTGTTTCACACATCAACTTGTGAACGAAAGGAAAGATATGAACAGAAAATAAATTCAACAAAACTGGAAAAATCAAGAGAAGAAATTCCACAACCGACCTGCGTATTTATCCTATACAACATTCGTTGTCAAACTCTTCAGTTGAAGCTCTACACATTGCTTATATTTGTGAGATGAATATGACAAACATTTGAGGTTGAATTAGTGAATCTCAAATACATTGGAAAAGAGAAAATGCAAACCACATCTTGATCAACAAAATTACAGAAAATGGTAGGTAAAAAACAGAAAGGGAAATCGATTAGGTACTCATGATTAAAGGAGGATTAGAAATTTCATTAAAATAAAAAGCAAAATTGAAAGCAAAATCAAATGTAGAAGAAAATTTCATTAATTGATAGAACACTCACGATTTGTCCAAATTCTTACAGCCGTACATGAAGTTTTACATTGTGCACTTTTTTTACCCGAAGCAACAAAAGGCCCACTCCTCACATCATGATCTGCCACAATTTAAAGAAGTTGAAGTAGTAGAAAGTCTTGGCAGAACAAAATTGAAAACATAAATCATAAACCCAATAAGAGTCATAAACTAATGAAGAAAGAATTTGAAAATTTTCAAACTACTAACCCTACAATATTGTCTCACCCACACAACACACATCACATTTGTAACATCCCACATCACCCAGGAGAGTGGATCATGTAAGCTTTATATGTATATTCTCATCTCTACCTAGCACGAGGCCTTTTGGGAGCTTACTGGCTTCGGGTTCCATTGGAACTTCGAAGTTAAGTGAGTTCGCGCGAGAGCAATCCCAGGATGGGTGACTCACTGGGAAGTTCTTATGTGAGTTCCCAGAAACAAAACCGTGAAGGCGTGGTCAGGGGTGCAAAGCGGACAATATCGTGCTATGGTGGATTTAAGCCTAGGATGTGGTAGGGGCCCAGGCGGGGATGTTGACAATTTGGTATCAGAGCCAATCCCTGGCCGGATGTGTGCCGACGAGGACGTCAGGCCCCTAAGGGGGTGGATTGTAGCATCCCACATCGTCCAGGGGAGTGGATCCTATAAGCCTTATATGTATATTCGTATCTCTACCTAGCACGAGGCATTTTGGAAGCTCACTGGCTTCGGGTTCCATTGGAACTCTGAAGCTAAGCAAGTTCGCGCAAGAGCAATCTCAGGATGGGTGACACACTAGGAAGTTCTCGTGTGAGTTTCCAGAAACAAAACCCTGATGGCGTGGTCGGGGCTCAAAGCGGACAATATCGTGCTACGGTGGATCCAAGTCCAGGATGTGGTGGGGACTCGAGCCGGGATGTGACAACATTTATCTCCATTGCCTACACCGATGCAGATGATTTGAAACCTCATGGAAAAAGCACGATAAATAATTGGAAAATGGATTAATATAAACAAAAACTCCCCAGAGCCAGTTTCCTTGTAAGCATAAGAAGCTCACCAACATGCTTCATTGGAATGTAATGAATGTAGAGGGAAGCATAAAGACACATGGAGAAGAAACAAATCCAACTTTTTCACTCAAAAGAAAATAACCAACAATCATACATGAAAATAGAAGGAAAAATGAATTTGGTTAATGGTGGACAACCACTGGAAAGAATGCAGAGATCATGGAGAATCTGAGATTGAAAGTTACCTGCGATAAAAATCAGTCGATGTAGAGGAAGAATTTTTGTCATTATATCCATCTGTCTGTTACTCCCTCCCCCTCGTTGTCTTCTCCTTGATTTCTGCACGACTATAAATAAATTGCCAAAATTAATATGAAACTAAACTTACCCAGTGAAATTTGAACACAATGAATTACTTCTCCAGTAGAGTTCATTTCCAAATCCTACTACTTTGAGAGGATTTAAAAAAACCCCCCTTTTGTAAAAATTTGGAATCTCTAATAATTGAAGAATCACACTATGCAAAACCCAAGTCATTTATTAGGACAAAGAATCACAAAGGCCCTGGAATTTGAAATCTCATATTTCAACGTAATTTCTCTAATTGAAAACCCAACAATAATAATCCAATTGAAATTGATTGTAAAGACAAAAAGCGAAGGATTTTAGGAAAAATCCCATGAAATCTTGTCTAAATCAAGTGTGGATGCTGAAGGAACTTCGAAAAAACACGAAGAAAGGTCTATGCGTAAGACAAAAGTGGGTTCGTTTCTTCCGATGTATGACCTGTTGTTCACTTTAGAATGTGTAGTAGATGGCAGCTCCATCTCCTCTGGTGTTTACAACTATTGTGGTTAGATGTGGTGTTTGAGAGTCCTACTCTTTCATGGAGGTTTTTTTTTTTTTTTTTTTTTTTTTACATTTTTTTTTTTTTGGAAAGATAAGACACAGTGCAATATTTGTGGGAGGATTAATCCAAGGGTCAAAATGAATTTGAAGTGCAAGTATTTTTATCAGGTGATTGTCAATTGTTATAGTTAAAGATGGGCGTTTATATTATTAGCAGCGGATAATTTCACATTTTATAATAACTTCTAAATTGTACGATATTATAATTTTGACCCTAATTTTATTGGACAGTTAATGTTGGTATAAGTAAGAAGTGAGGGCATTTTTGGCATTTTGAAAAGATTCACCTATTTGGGTTTCTCACTTTATATATATACTAGCATATGGACACATACAAAGTGTGCGAGAAATTTTTTTATTTTTGTTTTTGAAATAGAAGGAGAGAGAAAAAGAGTGATAGAGAATGTGGGAGTAGGAATTTTTTTTTAATTAATTAATTAATTAGAGATATATTAAGATTATATGTAGGTGAGACTTTGAAAAAAAAAGAGCAAAATTTGGTTGTGTGAAATTACATTTTTGCCCCTTATTTCTTATTTATGTTCTATTTTAATTAGACGGTGAAACTGATATTTTCATAGGATTTTGGTTGACAATAGTGTTTTATTAATTAGTAGAGATATACTAACATATGAACACACACAAAGTGTGTGAGAAATTTTTTTATTTTTGTCTTTGAAATAGGAGAGAGGAAAATAGTGATAGAGAATGTGAGACTAGGAAGTTTTTATTTTTATTTTATTTATTTATAATTAATTAGAGATGTGGTAGGATTACATGTAGGTGAGCTTTGAAAAAAAAAAACAACAAAACTTGGTTGTGTGAAATTACATTTCTGCCCCATATTTCTTATTCATGTTTTGTTTTAATTAAAGAGTTAAACTGATAATTTTATATAATTTTGATTGATAATGAGTATTTTATTAATTAATAAATATTAATTTTAATGAAAGTACTTATTTATTTAATTATTTATAATACTCGATTCCAAACATAACGCAGCTTCGCCCTTAACTTCGCTTAATCTGCTCGACTCTTTGCCATTGACCCATCGAGTTGCAGTCTCCTAATTAAAAACTCCCTTCAAAATTCAATACCCTTCCCTCTGATTTCTCCTCTTCCCCTTATCTATAAATAAATTTCTCAATTTTTTCAATTTTCTCATCTTCTTCTTCTCCAACACCCAACTATCTGTAGTTGCAAACTCTCCACCTGATCCGCCATGATTTCCCTTTCGGAAAGAAGGAAGAGGCCCATCAAAATCCCCTGCCCTCCTCAAAAATCCCATCTCTAATCACCAAATTCCACACCGTATTGGGGAAAATTGAATTGGGTTTTCTCCCAATAATCCAAATTATGATTCTTTCCAATCCAATATTTCTTGTAATCGTAACAATCTGTATATTTGTAGCAATCCGTGTGGCGCTGTACAGAACTGGGCTTGTTTACATCGTGAAGAAATGGTGGTGGTGGTTCGAGGACTGCTTCCATGTCTACCAATCGTTCAAAGTCCCCAAATTCAACGAGAGCATGCAGGAGAATCAGCTCTACGGACGAGTCACCGACTATCTCAACTCGCTCACCTCCATTGAAGAATCAGACTTCACTAACCTCGTCACCGGGAAAAAACCCAATGAAATTGTCCTCCAGCTCGACCCCAATCAGACTATCGAGGACGATTTCCTCGGCGCCAAGGTCATATGGCAAATAGAAGGCAGCGGCGCCGGTGGGAGTAGGAACTTAGTGTTGAAGGTTCGGAAAGCTGATAAGCGGCGGATTCTGCGGCCCTATTTACAACACATCCACGTCGTCGCCGACGAGCTTGAGCAGAAGAAACGGGAGTTGAGGCTTTACATGAACGTCGACGCGCCCGACAGGGCATGGAAGCCAGTCCCCTTCACTCACCCGTCGACCTTGGAGACCATATCAATGGAGTCCGACCTTAAATCGAAAGTCAAATCCGATTTAGAGTCGTTTCTCAAGGCGAAGCAGTACTATCACCGACTGGGTCGGGTCTGGAAACGGAGCTTTCTGCTTTACGGGCCGTCGGGCACCGGAAAATCGAGCTTCGTCGCCGCCATGGCCAATTTTCTCGGGTACGACGTGTACGATCTGGATCTCTCGCGTGTCAAAGACGACTCGGAGCTGATGATTCTGCTGTTGCAGACGACAACAAAATCGGTCATTGTGATCGAAGACTTGGACCGATATTTAGCCGAGAAACCCGCGGGTCTGAGCTTTTCGGGTATATCGAATTTCATGGACGGGCTGTTGAATTCGTGCTGCGCCGAGGAGAGAGTGATGGTTTTCACGATGAATTCGAAAGACCACGTTGACCCGGCCTTTCTTCGACCGGGTCGGATCGACGTCCACATCCACTTTCCACTCTGCGATTTCGGAGCATTCAAAAATCTGGCGACGAGTTATCTCGGGTTGAAGGAGCACAAGCTCTTCCCGCAGGTGGAGGAGATTTTCCTAAGCGGGTCGAGTTTGAGTCCGGCGGAGATCGGCGAGTTGATGATCACGAACCGGAACTCGCCGAGTCGGGCGATTAAGTCGGTCATCACGGCTTTGCAGACGGACGGCGATGGGAGGGGCGCGGGATTGTTCGGAAGGCGGGTTGGGTTTGATACCGGGTCGAGAAAGTCCGAATCGGGTGAACCCGGCGGGGCGTTTTGCGGGGAAGGCGGTGTTCCTGCGGTTAGGGATATTAGGAAGTTGTATGGGTTCTTGAGGATGAAAAGCAGCAGGAGCCCCTCTCATTCTCAGTCGTTCGATGCGGATTCGGCGCACAGGGAAGGTTGATCGGAGGGCCTGAAATTTAAAATGTTTGGGGGGCATTACGTGACGATATGTGATTGGGGGTTATAGGGAAGAAATGCAGAAGTATAGAGCATATAATTGAACAGAGAAACCAATTTGTTTTGATAATTTGGATAATTGGTAGTTGGGATTTGGGTGCTTTGTGGATAGATTAATTGATGATTCTATCTTTCTTCTGTTCTTCTTCAATTTTGTGTGGTTTTTAATTAAATTATTAATCAATGTTAATAGGTTAAGTAGTTTTAGGGTTTTGTTTTTTTTTTTTTTTTGGGTTGTTAAATTGTGTATCTCTTGTACAAAATTGTGTATATTTCCTTTTTTTTGTTCAATACAGGCGATGTTGAGTAGAGATACATGACCCTGGATGCATGGATAAATGATACGCTTAACTATTTGAGCTATGTGGCTTTTGTAGCAAGCAATGTATCAAAACACAAATGTTACCATACTATCATTCACCAACCAAGATGTAAAAACAAGTAATTGAATTAAGCCTTCATCCTAAGTACACTCGACCCGAAAAATCAGTAATGAAATTAGTCCAATACCAAGATTAAGTAATTAAATTAATCTGTTACGCAAGTGCCCTTTACCACAGTGGTGGAAATGTGTTTAGCCCTTGCATGACAGCGTGGATTTAAACCCCGTCGGTAGCTGATCTAACATCTAATCAAACAAAACCTAATCAACAATCAATTTCTCAGATTCCGATTACACATTAATAAACGCGACATTAACACTTAACAAAGTCAACCGCTTGAAGTGGTTTTTGTTTGATTCCTAAGCTAAATCCTTATATTACAAATTGTAACACTAGAATCGTATTCTGCAAATAGAAAAGAAATAAAAGATTCACAGAAAAAAAAAATGTAACAAACTGACAAACACATAAACCGCAATCCCTTGTCTATGTGGTGTTTGGTGTCAAACGAAAGTGTAAGCTATTCTTACCATCTAGTTATATCATTATTTATACTGTTTTTCTAATAAAAATAGAGTTCATCAATACATTTAAATCTCATCTCTATTTATTAGAAAAATACTACAAATGATGATGAGTAATATTTTGCTATAAAAATGAGATTCTATTTTTATTCTGTAGCTAATATAAAAAGCTGTGCAACTGCCCACATTTCCTGCACTCATGATTAGTCATTATTTTTTTTTTCATGTCATTTTTGTCTTTAACCGCAGAATGAGCCAAAATTAGAAATTAGCAATTTAGCATGCACCAAGTGGCTCATTGGCTGCGTTTTTCCCCTCAAAATAATCGTAGCTAACACGCATTTGCTTGTCAATTCTTCAAGATATGATGCTTCAAATCATCGATAAGTGGCTGTAAATTTGTAATCTTGGGAATTCTGAATTGACTGGGGGGAATTTGTGTCTGGCCAAATGCTTATTTTAAGTGGTTTTTATTGTACCCCAACTATATGATTTTGGACACACAAAGGCGTGTTATCTCTAAGTCATTGAGGTTTGTTGAGTGGTGAAGGTGAGTGGGGTTATGAATATCAGTGGATTAGATATTTGGAGTTCAAAAGTTCAAAAGTTCAAAACTCCCTTTTGTAACTAAAAAATTGTGTGTCGTATGTGCTATCAAATAGGCTAATTTTTTATTCTTGTAAAAGAGTTCATTGTGGTTCTATCAATTTTTCAATTGCGGAGATAGAGATTATATTTTTTGTTATGTATCAATTACCTTTTAAGAAATCAAACATGTATCGATGTATCTTAATTTTGACTTGGTACTCACTTTTTTCTCGTCACTCGAACTATCATGACATATATTAAGATTATTTTTGAATGTGTGATTATGTATTTCAAAATAGTCATGATTTTTCGTTTCTTAAAAGCCTAGGTTAGTTGGGAGAAAGTCCTTCCTTCCCTAAACGGCTCTAGCGTTAATTTTGAGAGTTGAAGGCCTTGTTGTCACTGGGGTTTTGCTCTAGGGTTTTGGGTCTCTCCATTGCTCTCGTTTTCCATTTCTTAGTTTACCTACAAATCTTCCTACATATTTTTGCGTGCTTTTTCTTTTGGGGGTCAGCTATTTGTGTTTATAATCTGTTAAAATAAGTCTTGAATTTAAAGCTTATGACCATTTCCATCAATGCATGATTGTTGTAATTTGCAACATTGTGAATGTTTTTTTTTTTTACAAGAAAATGATAGAGTGGTATTCCATTGAACTTCACAAACAATTATAAAAGTTCTCACAAACAACATGAGTGTTCAATCCAGTAGTAACCTTACTACTCTCTTTACAAAAGTTCTCACGATTGATTTTATTTCTTTTTTCTTTCTCAAGATTGATTTGGTTTGGTTATATTTTGCAAATATATATTATATATGTATGTATGTAGGTATGTATGTATGTATGTGTGTATGTATGCATGTGTGCGTGTGTGTGTGTGTGTGTGTAGATGTATAAGCTGGTATGTTGTGAGTCAGTCCAGCTGGTTTCTTTTATCATGAATTAATAATTTTAAAGCTGGATGCCTCCTGTGGAGTATGTCTGGTATGGACGTGGACCAAACTGCCCAGACAACATGATCAACCCAATTCCTTTTGCCACCTACACAGTCTCGCACCACCTAATTAAAAGAGCCTTTTGAAATTATTTAGATGTAATCATACAGGTGCATGGTAATGATTTTCTCTTTTCTTTTCAGCGTCGAAAGAGCTAAGCTTGAATTCTTCTCTTCCATCGACAAAAAGAAAATTAAAGTTTTACAATTAGCAGTACAAATTGATAATTATTGTTAAGCAACAGATAGTAGTCGTAACATAATGAAATGCTAAGCTAAGCAAGTCTCATATCATATATATTAAGCATGATACTTGAAAAGGGAAATAATTGCCTTCTAATTTTATAATGTTAGTTGTATGTTAAATTGTTGTTTTTATAATTTGAAAGTTGCTACCCACGGAAAGGGATCATCTCCGGATCCAATCAATCAATCCGGATCTTTGAAATATAATCCAACTATTACAAATAAAGGATTCTTTAAAAGTTATTAACTTTAACCGTTTAATCAAATTTCAAAGATTTGAATTAGGTATAATTGGATGGAATTGATGGAAGGAATTCAAAAATGATCCTTTCCGCTACCCACAACGTGGCTCATGATTGTGTCTCTGGCTGTTTTCCTGATAGGACAGACATGGGGTAAGTCCAACAAACGTCTACTTTGCCAGCATAAAGAAAGAAACAAAAAGGAAACTTTTTATAGAAAAGGAGATTTGATGGGTGTAGTTTTTCCTATACCAACACTGCCCTGAGCATGGGGCATGCATATGTAGTACGATAAGAAAAAGATGAGTTTCGTTATATAAAAAAAAAGAAAAAAAAAAAGACAACAATGTCAAATTCATTCCAGCATAATTATCACAAGAAGACATTATTAATATATTAATAAGCAAAATTTAAAAGGTAAAATAAGTTAGGGGACATGGAAACACAATTGAAAAATGGAAGAGCGAGAAAGACTGATCCCAACGCAAACCAACAAGGCAACACCGAAACTTAAACATAGAAGATGAGAAATTCGTTAAAACTACTCTTAAAAGAAGTGGCTGTTCAGAAGAACCGAAAGATCATGAACAAAAGATGCAAAAGCAATTGCAGGGCAAGAATCCCACAATGAACGCCCATCATATAAACATCAAAGGTTGCTAAACAATCAACCACTTGATTACCATTACGATAAATATGAGAAACTGGTTTCCACATGGAAGAGAAAATGGTGCAAAGGTTAGACCAATCAACCGATAAATGCCAAGGAATCCGACATGCATGATCAGTTATAAAGAAAATGCATCGTTAATGCAAAATCATATTCAATCCAAAGGAATGTCCACCCTTCTCCAAAGTCATACTTACTACATGAATAATTTAATGGTTGTAAGCTTCGCCTCCAAGGTAGTTGAAATACCAAACGATTCTGTAAAGCATCCTACAAAATGACCCAAAAAAAAACCACCAAATCTCACCTGGCCTAGAGAACCACGAGTCGCACCGTATTAAACTTGGCTTCAAAAGCATAAGGAGAAAGCTGAAGAACCTCATGGGTTTTGGGTGCCCTTGAATGCCAACCATGCACTCCAACCACCTGACTCATCAACAGAGTTTATCCTTAAACCCAATCGCCAGGAGTTCGCTTCAAAAATTTGGAATATCACTAACCAAAAATATCAATTGTAAGCAATTTTTTTTATCTTTTCAAACATATAAATTTTCTAGCCTAACAAAGGGAGTAAAACATGACCCAATCATGCCGCACGGCCAATGGCGGAGTTAGGAATTTTTCACTGGGTGAGCTAGCTTGAAGATTTAAATCTTTATAAACAAAAAAACTTAATTGATATTGTATTTTTCACAATATAAGCTAGCTAGCTTTGGATTTTTTGTTATTAAACAAATACTTGTTGAAATTCAAGCAAATCCAAACTTGTATATGTACCAAAAGGGACGAGAAAGAGGATGTAAGAAAAAGAGATGGTTGTATATTGTACTATATAATTTTATTTAATTAAATCAAGAGAATTCCGATTAGTGACTAAATATAAGGTGGGCTACCCCTTAACGTGGCTCCACTAATGCGCACCGCTACGGCCTAGTGATATTTCTTTTTACTTGTAAGTGGAAAATCTTAAGTTCGATCTTGCCGAAAGCAAGTTCAAACCAAATGATCCCACTGAGAGACGACATGTCGTTTGATACCCTTTGAGGAAGGTCTCCCAAAATAGTGTCTCAATGATCCAAAACAACCCAATATCCGTCCCCTGCTTCTAGCGTAACAAAGAAAGGCCCAGTATATGGTCCATGCTACCTTCTGCCTAGGGTTCACATTTGATATTCTAGCTACAGAGGACTTTTTCTTCAATGATCCAAACCAACCGAAACAAGTGCGGAGTTTTGTGTGTATATAAAGAAGGGAAAAACAATTTACGTAGAACGAGTTTACAATTATTATAACTTATTAGTCTAATAATATAATGTTATGTAAAGAGAAAATTACACATAACATTATATTATTGAATTGCGATGTCACGATATCTGTAAACGCAATCCATGTTAGTTCTTCGTCATGCAAAGATGCCAATTCAGGAGCTGATGTCCACAATTGAGCATCTTCTTGGCCATTACATGATATGGAACAAACCCAAAAACACGCTACAATTTTCGG